CACGAGGCACAAGTACACGCTTCGACGCGTCATCCTCGCCCTGCGCGCCGCGTGGGGCACCGCTGTGCGAATGGAGCCGAAAGCCCACCTCGGTCAGAGTTACAACAAACAACCCGACGTGGACGCGGACAACATTGGCTCGCACGGCTCGCACTATTGCGGGGACGTCAAGGTCGTCTGTCCCCTCAGCAGCAGCGGGGAGCACGGTCGGAAGGGCGCTTTTGTCGCTTTCGGCAACACTGAATCATTCTACCGGAACATGGTCGAGGGGCATGGGCCCTACTGCGAGGAGGGGGAGGGGGGGAAGGGGGGGGGGGAGGGAGAGGGGGGGGGGGGAGAGGAGGAGGGGGGGGGAAAGGGGGAGGGGTACGGGGGGGGCGGCATGGAGGGGGAGAGGAAGAGCAAGGGCGAGAGAGGGCAAGGGACCGGGCGCTGGCATACCAGGGGGGGCAGGGTGGTGGGCGGCGACCGCCGCATACCGTCCTACGGCGGGGACTATCGCTACGCCAGGGAAGACAAGGGCGTCGAAGTGCAGCTGCTGCTGTTCGAATCGTTCGGCGGGTTCGGAAAGGGGGTCCGTGAGATCCTCCGGAAGGCGGCGGACGTACTACAGAACAAGCTGACGCGGGCCCAGTACCTCGATGAGGTGACTTGGACCACCAAGAGCTGGCTGGGGCTGCAGAAGCAGCGCATCTCAGTCGTTCTTCACACGGCAATCGCAGAGCAGATTGTGAATGAGCTTGCCTGTGGCGGGGGTGGGCGGGTGCACGGAGCTAAGTGCCTCGCCACCCTCGCAGGAGTCGCTTAGGCGGCTCCCGTGGTGTACCTGTGTTAGTGCCAGTGCGAGCCAGTCCCGTGCCCAGTCCTGTGCCCAGTGTTGTGCGAGGGAGTTTTGTTGTAAAATTCTTTATCGGTCGGCTCTAAGCTTAGGCGGTGCGCTCGCTGAGCAGTCGGTGCTCGCCGCCTCATGTGCTCGCTCGTGACCCTGGCCGTCGCAGCAGTGGCACTGCGCGCCGGGCCAATACCTGCTCTTCCGCGGCCCGTAACTTTGGCGGCCGATGCGCGTGTCAAGCATGTCGCTGCGGTCGCTCTACACCCGCTGCAGCCAGTGGTGGCCCGGCCATCTGGCCTGTCCGGCCTGCGCTGTGGCCGCTGTGGCCGTCCCGTGCTGTCAGCGGCGCCCGCAAAGAAGGTCAAGACACCATGGAAGACCCTCCTCTCCCTGTGCAAGCCCGACGCCGCTCCGCTCGTGACGGCGTTCGTGTGCCTCGCCGTCGCCGCGTCGGGCGACGCTTTGCTGCCTGCCCTGCAGGGCGCAGCGCTCAACGCGGCGCTTGGGCTCGGCACGGACGCCGCGGGCTCTCTCGCTCAGCTGCGGCCCGCCCTCGTCCGCCTCGCCGCGGTCGGGCTTGGCACAGCCGTGTTCACCGGCATCCGCGGCTTTTGCTTCTGGGTGTGCGGCGCGCGGCTGGTGGCGCGGCTGCGTGCGACGCTCTTCGACGCGCTGCTCGCTCAGCCGCAGGCCTTGCACGACAAGCATAGCCGCTGTTGATCCATGTCTCGACTCTTGCTCTCATCGCCACCCTCGTTGCCCAGGCGTTCCACGACGAGCAAGGCCCTGGCGACCTGTCGACGCGCCTCGCCACTGACTGCGTCAAGCTGGGAGACGTGCTCTCGCTCAACGTCAACATCGTGCTGCGGCAGGTGCAGCTCTCCCTCCCCTCACAGTCGCAGTGGTGTGTGCTGACCTCATGCTGACCTCATGCCGGCCTCGCTGTTCATGCTGGCTGTTCATGCTGACCACGTTGGCCTCTTCATTCGTCGAGTGTGTCGGGACCTCACTCGGCGCAGGTGCTGCAGTCCCTCGCGGGCATGGCGGTCGTGCTGCGGCTGAGCGGCCGCCTGGCGCTGCTCGTCGTCGCGGGCGTGCTGCTGCGGTCTCTCTTCGCACACTTCTACTCGATGGCAGCTCGCCGACTCTCCCAGGCGCACCTCCTCTCTCCTCCTCCCCTCCTCCTCTCCTCTCTCCTCTCCCCCCCCCACCTCAACCTCCTCGCCCTACTCCCCCCCCAGGCGCAGCAGGACCGGCTCGCAGCTTCGTCTGGCGTGGCGGAGCAGTGTTTCTCGCTCATCAAGCTCGTCCGGTACACTCCCTGCAGACCACTCAGACGGTCTCCTAGTCCTCTCCCAGCGCTTCTCCTCCATCAAGCGCGCCCGGTCATACCTCGAGATGAATATAGAAGAGAAGCTTCTCACGCAAGGCTCTCTGGCGCCACTTTCCATGAACCTTCTCGGAACCGTCTCCCAGGTCGCACGGCAGCCAGCGGAGCGAGCGGCGGCGGTGCGGGCAGCAGCAGGAAGGCTTGCCTCCCCTCGCGTTTATCTCTCCACGGCTGCGTGTGTGCATACGCATAGGTACGGGCAGCAGCTGGACGGCTTGCTGCGGCTGCAG